ATAGGCCGAAGGAATCTCTTTTTTTTCTAACTGTACCAGAGCGACACATCTGATTGCAATAGACGTCTCCTTTTCTCTGCTCGTAATGAGTGCAAGCGTGTACTGAATGAAGCGAAGTTACTGTTTGCTGACAGAATGAAACAACATATAGCATCTCACAAGTTCGGTTCTAGAGATTATTAGCGGCTATATATTTATATATGTCTTTAATAAATAAATTGTGGACCTTGTCCATTTCTTAACATATATATATATATATATATATATATATATATATATATATATATATATATATATATATATATATATATATATATATATATATATATATATATATATATATATATATATATATATATATATATATATATATATATATATATATATATATATATATATATATATATATATATATAAATCTCTCTCTCTCTCTATATATATATATATATATATATATATATATATATATATATGAATTTTGTAGACCTGGCAAAACGGAATCTGTTTGCCAGAGAGAAGGTCGAGAGGTAAGATGCCTCAGCATTGATTAAAGCCTCGAATACTTTACCGAAAAATAGTAGGAGACTACTAAGGCGATAGTTAGAGGGTCAGAAGCTTCTGCTGAGTTCTAAGGAACTACAGGTGGATTTCCAAGAAGATGGAAAGCAGGAAGCAATGAGGCAATAGATGTTGAGTTTGGAGAATACTGGAGCCAGATCGGGAGCACATTTCATTAGGACGGCGGCTGGGACCCTGTCACCGCGATTTACCTAATGGGAGCCTAACTTAGAAATTATATCTCTGACCAGTAACGAGGTTATGCGCATATCTCTCAGTAGAGCCTCAGTTCTGGTGGTGGCGATGGGGAGGGGGAGATCAGGTGTGGGTACTCAAATGTCGAGTGTTGACTTGGAAGAGAAATTCAACTTTATCTGCAGTAGATATCAGAACTTCGAATTGATTGAATAATGGAGAGATTTAGGATTTTCGCTTGTTCAACACTTTTATATAAAAATAAAATATATAAATATTTATATATATATATTTATATATATAAATATATACATATAAAATATATATAAATATATATATAAATATATATATATATATATATATATATATATATATATATATATATATATATATATAATATATATATATGAATATATATATAAATATATATATAAATATATATAAATATATATATATATATATATATATATATATATATATAAATATAAATATATATAAATATATATATATATATATATATATATATATATATATATATATATATATATATATATATCAAGCCCTTGAGGATAACGACGAAACTCGAGCTGAGGCTTTAGATATCTCGAAAGCGTCTGGCAGAGTTTGGTACGCTGGACATCTACGTAAGCTCCAGGGCTACGGTATTACAGGACGATTGTTTGATTTAATCCAATCGTTCCTATCAAATCGTGAAATGAAGGTCGTTATGAACGGGAACGCTTCCAGATCCTTTCATATGAATGCGGGTGTCACTCAAGGCTTTATCCTGGGAACTACGCTGATTCTGATTTTCATCAATGATCTTCTCGATGTCACTAGTTTCCATGTAGGCATTTATGCAGATGACACTCCCATTTACCCTTCTCTCAATAGCAAATCTGTCAATGTTGACAGTTAATCTCGCCGCTGCTCTTGAAGAGGACCTCCAATCAGTGGTTAACTAGGACAGGAAATGGTTTGTAAATTTTAATGCTTCCAAAACGAAACTACTCTCATTTAGGCACCATAGAGAAACTTCTCTCTCCGTCACGATATGGCTGATGCTAGACTCCTGGAGAGCAATACTTGAGCGTTTTTGGCCTCACAATTTCAACTGACTTGAAGTAGAACGTCTACATCGAATCAATAGCTGGATCTACTGCATTGAATACTGTTAGCATATCCGGTCTAATGCTCCTTCCATTCATCTCGAGGTTCTTGACAAAATCCAAAGAAGGATCTGCAATATAATCGATCCTGACATTGCATCTCGACTTCAGTGACATTTTTTTACCGACATCGTGACGTGGCTTCCCTCTGTCTTTTCTACAAATATTTTCATGGTAACTGCTCTGACGAGCTTTCTTCCCTGGTGCCCCGACTACATGAATTTAAGCGTGCTACTAAACTGGCAGCTAGGTTCCACCATTTTGCCGTTGAATTAGGTAAATGTAAGCGCCACTTTTATTCATTACCGAAAGTGGAACATCTTCTCGTTTACTTGCTTCCCTGAAAACTACAATCGAAAATTTACATGCAAAGTCAATCTCCATCTTCTGTCTTCTTGAACCCCGTTCATCTTTTATCCTTTTCTCAATCCCCACTATACACAGTCTTTTCTCTTATTTTAACTCTCTGTAACACACTGGGTATTAGTGGCATTCTCACCTTTTGTGGGGTGAAATGATAAAAAAAGACACAAAAATGATAGATAACAGAGTTATCGATAGATATGGATAATTACAAATCTCAGTTTTTTGTGACGCAATGTTACGTGGAAAAATAGAGACGATTGTACCAATTTCGCGTATCGCGATGGTTTGTCTTGAAAAAGAATCTCTTCAAAATTCAAGCTTTCAATCTGAATTAACCAACCATAATCAATTGTATTTAAAATTCTCCTACCTCAGCTGACCTCTCTTTATTATTATTTTTTTTCTTATTTCAGATACCCCAACCTTGCCCTTGCACCTTCCTCTCTAGTATACACATGTATACGAGTTTTAACAACTGCTACTAGATTGGCATCTAGGTCCAATCATTTTACTGTTGAAATAGTTAACTTCTACACCAATAGTCTCTTTTCTCGCACTTCCCACGTGTGGAACTCTCTTCCGTTTACTTGCTTCCCTTATAACTACAATCTTCAAAAAAATAAATGCAACGTCAATCGTCATCTTCTGTCGTCTTGAACACCGTTCATCTTTTATCCTTTTCTCAATCCTCCTTATACCTTGTCTTCTCTCTCACCTTCACTCTCAGTAACCCCCTATATACTAGTGACCTTCCCGCCTTGCTTGGGGTGAAATGATAGAAATAGAAGCTCGAAAATAATCGACGTTATGACGGTAAGGTTCTCTGTTGATTCCTGGATAGGGACGAACACCTGGAATATCAGCAACCTGTATTTCTAAAAGGATTTAAGTTACAAAGTTTAAATATTATGTCTTTTGTCAGAAAATAATGTTCTCTTTACTTTGCATTTTTAGAAACAGGAGAGCTGGGTTTTTTTCCATTAAATAACGAAAAGAAACATACACGCACCCACACACTGTCTGTCTGTCTGTTATGGCCGGTGATTTTTTTTTCTTCGGTATGAGTTACGAATCCACGTCGTCAAGTGTTGTAGAGTGAACGAAAAGTTTTTTCTTCCTCCGTATGAGAAAGAATCCCCCGTACGCCAAAATGTTGTATATGGCGAACGAATTTTTTTTCTTTTTTTCGTTTCCTCCGTATGAGTTTCGAATCCTGGTCGCCAAAGTTGTTGTAGAGTAGTTTTCACAGTGGAGGCTTGTATTTCACTAAGTCGGTCCTAAAAAGGTTCGACGTACAAAACGTTAGGAACTTGATATAAGAGTTAATGACGCAGCAATCTAGTTTGTGGTGGTTGATACTTTAATGTCCGACATCGACTGATACACCAACTCTCTGAGCGATATTCAGTCACCCCCCACCCCTACGAGGGCATCATGTGGCACAAGGCCGGTTTAAAATGGGATCTCCGAGCCCGTAGGCTCGGCCAAAAATATGCCCTTTTAAAACCCGTATAAACGGGTTCAGGGTCGGTTTACCTCCCCGACAGAGACTCCGCCCTTCGGCGTAGCCTCGTTCGGGTTCCTCCCCGCCCGAAGACAGAGAGTTCAACTGGTCAGCCGATCTTCCGACTTCAGACTGAACTCGGACCACTTCGTGACTGCTACTACTACTACTACTTATTATATGTGGGAGAGTCTATTAACAATAGAATAGGTATGTTCCCGTATAACACTGTCTCGCTGTCACACACACACACACACACACACACACACACACACACACACACACACACACACACACACACAAATATTGTTTTTTTCCTTGTTGACAGAGAAGATACATAAACTATTTCTCCAAATAAGCGATAAACAGTTAAAATGGTACGCTCTGGTCATCATAAACACTGTTTCACAAAGAAATTTCGATTGAAAGAATTATAATAATATATTTAATTCGCAAACAACTTTATTTAGGAATTTTTTTTTTTTAGTTTAACACAAGGCAATTCTCACTTAATGAGAATATCAATCATTATTTAATAATAATGGTCAAGCGGACTAGATACCGAATCGTTACAATATTTGTGTTTTATTAGCATTAGGTTTACAACCATGACAAGACAGAGATTAGTCCATAAATTAAGAATATTTTAAGCATGAAGCGAGGCTCATATATTCTAAGCAATGTCATTAAATATTCAAACCAAGAATAATAAAATTATGCATGAAATATGACCTTAAGATACACTTACCGAAAAGACCTTACAAATGTAATCACTCAAAAAAGTAATTTTATCCCCTTAACTTAAATTTCATGCTTAAAACAGAACTGAAATGAATTTCAGTTCTGTTTTAAGCATGAAATTTATCTTAAATTTGAGAATTTGCTGGGTATGATAAGACTCAGCTAAATTTACCTGAAGCAAAACAAAACAAAAAAAAAAAAAAAAAAAATTGCCGCACTTCAGAAAATTTGGTTTGGCACAAGGCTACATGTCTTGAGCATCCAGTGAGGATCGAAATCACTACAAATGATTTATTCCCCTTACTGAACTTTGCACCACGATTAGCTAGTTTCGATAGTAAACGTGTTCGCATTTAGTCGCGTCTTCCATGCCTTCTTTTTTTTTTTTTTTAATTAGCAGAGTTTCAAAATGGTTCCGGAATTTCTTTTTTTATCATTTTTGCTCAAAAATTCTACTTTGCAGCTGCATGATTTTCCTTATTAAGGTAAAGAATTTTAGAATATTTTCTCTTTCGTTCACTTCTTTCTTTCTTTCTTTCTTTCTTTCTTTCTTTCTTTCTTTCTATTATTTTTCTGTAATCCTTTCTTTCCTTTTTAGCTTCTTTCTTTATATACTATCTATCTATCTATCTATCTATCTATCTATCTATCTATCTATCTCATTACATTCTTTTCTTTGCTATCTATCTATCTATCTATCTATCTATCTATCTATCTATCTATCTATCTATCTCATTACATTCTTTTCTTTTCTATCTATCTATCTATCTATCTATCTATCTATCTATCTATCTATCTATCTCATTACATTCTTTTCTTTTCTTTCTTTCTTTCTATCTATCTATCTATCTATCTATCTATCTATCTATCTATCTATCTATCTATCTATCTCATTACATTCTTTTCTTTGCTATCTATCTATCTATCTATCTATCTATCTATCTATCTATCTATCTTTTCATTACATTTCTTTTCTATTTTATCTATCTATCTATCTATCTCATTACATTCTTTTTTTTTCTATCTATCTATCTATCTATCTATCTATCTATCTATCTCATTACATTCTTTTCTTTGCTATCTATCTATCTATCTATCTATTTCTCATTTCACTGCACTCTTCTCTTTCGTTCTTTCGCCCTTCCTTTCCTTTTTTTCCTTTTCTCCTCCCTATCTTTCCTTCATACTTTCACTCATCCTTCCTTAGTTCGCTCCTGCCTTATTCCAAACCTTCCTTCCCACATTCCTCTCCTCTCTTCATCCCATCGCTCCTCCCTTCTTCTAATCTTCTCTTCCTTCCTCCATTTTCTGATTTTCCTCCACTTCTCCTCGTCTATATTTCTTTATCCGTCCCTTTCACTTTTCTGCTCACTATTTTCCAGACTTCATTTTTCTAATTTCAGCCACAAAATGATGTCTATCTCAAAATTCTTAAAAAAAAACAACCTTCCAACAACAATTGTTATTCAGGCAATGCGTTGTCGGTGGGAATAGATTCGAAGGGGGGTATTTGAATGGATGGCGGGCATTGTGGAACATCTGGTAAAAAAATCATGAAAAAAAGATCATATTAAACAAGACATTTCAGTGTTCAGTGATTTTTTAAGTAAGTTAATCTTTCTTTTCGTGTTGCTGAGTTACATTGAATCCATGGATGGATACAATACCCCACAAAGAAGCGCACCGTAGCGCTCAGCAGTTAATGACACGTTTGGGCAGACCAGTGGACCCAACCCATGCCACGTGAGCATACACCACGACATTATAAAATCCGCATCATCTTGTACGGTTTCTTGCTAGCAACTGGGACCCATTGCTTCATGGGGTCTGCGCCACATCCCAACCTTACTATTACCCTCTAAAAATCGTGACTCAACGGGCTTCTCAGCACGTCCGATTAGCAAGGACACGAAACCAGATGAGATCTGTGTCCGTTGTTGAAGTATTATACCTCCTGCATTGAATGTGGTTTTGATTTGAGTCAATGTCGCTTGTCTGTTCATGCAATCATTGTTAACTGGGGCAAAGAATGACTTGTTAATTTTAACATCTCCAAAACAAAACTCCTCTCTGATTGACATTTTTCTGCTTTCCATCAGCATGGCTGATGCTAACCTCCAGGAGAGTGACTCGTTGCGTCTTCTCGGGAGAACATTCTCAGCTGACATGAAGTGGAAAGACTATCTTGAATCCATTGTTAGGTAAGTTGGTAAGAAAGTTAGTTCACTGCGTTGTGCTAGACAATTTTTCTCTCCAGAATGGATCTTACATATATATATATATATATAATTCCATGCTTAGAATATTGCTGCCGTTTATTGTCCGGTGTTCCTGCTATATATTGGGAGATTCTTAAACTCCAAAGAAGAATCAGCAATATTATTGGTCCTGACCTGAACTCTCAGCTTCAGTCCCTTTGCCACCGCAGTGAAGTTGCTTCCCTCTGCCTTTTCTATAAATACTTTCATGATAACTTTTGATGAACTCTTCGCTATGGTATAGGCGGGTGAGTCTTGTGCGTTTGTGTCGCTAAAAAGGGGCTGACACTTTGATGCTGGTCAGGCATCAGGATATTGTTCTCTCTGTTTTGAACATACGCTAACCCCGCCCAGACTTAGGCTAGTTTAGGGTTCCGTTTTGTCCTTGGTTTCTTCTTTCAAGTTAATTTAGCTAGGGGATATATACTCATTGGCCTCTTTTCATTTCTGTCCCTATTTTTTTTTTAGTTTAATTCCCCTTCCCTCCATGTTAAGGTGAGCAGAGATGGCAGCTGGGGGCCTTTCGTTTCGGGTGTGATTTTCGTATTTGTTGTTGTGTTTGAGTGAGTTGTTGGGATGAATGAATGTTTTATATTATTAAAGTCTCGCATTGATTTCATTCAGTTAACCAATGTTTCTGACACATTTAAAGATTGCGGAGGTATTACTAATATTATTTTGTTTAGTTTTTCATATTGTAAATACACATGTCGTTTTATTCCCCTCCTCTACAGACAATGAATTGTACATATGGGGACTAGTTAGGACTTCATGGAGATCCTGAGGTATTATGGTGGATGAAGTAAGAAAGGTAAGTAAGAATACGTTGTTTTGGTGTAAGGAATATTGTGGTATGTTTGGGTCAGAGATCGTTGCTAGCTAAGTTTAATGTTAAGACAGAAGAAGACCGTCCTTTTGTCCCCATTCCCCATTTTAGCCTCGTGCCAAATTTTGTAATTTTACAACTAAATAATGTTCTTCGTTATGGTTTCTAGACTTTGTGAATTTAAACGCAGTGTTAACAGTGTTTCATCAATTTACAGTTGAATTGGCAAGATGTAAGCATAAGTTCTATTCTAACAGTTTTTCCCGCTCTTCTCGCTTGTAGGGCTCTCTTCTGGCTCCATGCTTTCCAGCCAACTTTAATCTTCAAATATTTAAATGCAACGTCAATTGTTATCTACGGTCTTTCTGATTACTGTTCTATTGTTCTCGCTCATTAGTAATGTTTCTATTTTCTAATTCTTCCAAACCCTTGTGTCTTAGTGGCTTTACTGCCTTGTTTGGGGTGAACACGATTAAAAAAATGACGCTATTAGTTTTAATAATTAAGAACCTATGATTTGCTACTACTGCATAATATTATTGCATAATGGGTAATAATGCCTTCCATCAGATATTCTTGGTATATATCATGTAATATCAAATGTCCAGGCAATTTCAGAAGCAGAATGTAATATTCGAATAGCATCTTCACGTCAATAAGCCATGAGTGGCCTACCCGGTAGCAACACTGACTCACCAGATTGCAAAGCACAACTGATATAGTCACTGGTCATTTCATTGACGTCAATAGACCGTCACCTTTAGGTACTTCTATCCATTGACTTTTGGCACGTCAGTGTATATGAATATTTGGGTGTAATCGTTCACATGCAAATACACACACTTACTCTCATATACACATATTCTCACACGCACGAGCACGCTCACAAACCCACACAGATCTATATATATATATATATACATATATATATGGTTCAAAGATGTAATAAGCGTAAAAAAAACAGGAATATAAAGGTTGGGACCTCATTTTTTATTCTACTTAATCTAAAGTTAACAAGAGACAATGGCGTTCAGAGACAATTGCTTAAAATGAAATGAGAAAGAAAACCCCTTTTAAAAACTTCCGTGACCCACATCTGTTCTTTAAGTTGTGTTGCCTGTTTGTTTAAGGAGTTTTATTTTTTGTTGTTGTTGTTTCATTGTTCCACGGGAAAACATTTCTTTTTTCTCACTTTTATGAACAAAGGAGAGACAGGAAAATTTATATATAGTACAATTATTTATGTAGTATATCTATTTCGTTCTTTATTATTAGGCAAAAAAAAAGAATGTTTTTACTGTTAATTCCGTTTTAATTCCTACAGTGGTTTCTTACTGGCGGCTAAAAGAAGACAACCAAGGTCAGCTTTCCTGCACAAATATGCCTGTATAGTTTCATTCTAATTCGTGCTCTATACTTGTGGCCTTGTGCCAAATCTAAGCTACGATTAGTTTTAAGCACTTCGACCTAGAGTAATGCTTAGCAAGCTTGTCTCGCGAGATCAATTACGACTGAATAGTTAATTTATTATTTTATTTATTTATTTGGATTTATTATTTTTATTTGTTTTTGCTTATTTATTCTTTATTTATTCTAACGTTTATTTTAGCGGGAGCGGTTTGTTAATTCATTTGTTTGGATTAATTTATTTTATTTGTCTTTAAGGTGCTCCATACTTGCGGCCTTGTGCCATATCTAGACTACTCTTTTGTTCTATTCTGTGTGGCCCATTATATTTTGTGGGTGAGTCATCGGTAGAAAAGAACTGTTAAACAATCGGTCGAAAAAATAGATATACAATAATGAAAAACAAAACGTGGGCACAAAACGTATTGTATTGATTATACAAATATATCGATAACAGCATATCAATAATAAACATATAAATAATGAACATATTAATTGCTCAAATGTTGAAACTGTTTGCCCCCGGCATTCACACCGTCTGCTCAAATTTGTCGCCTATCCGGTAAATCTTGAGCCTCCTTGGTGGAGGTGTTGTAAATGTTTCCCCGCCACTCCCCTCGCACACGTTCATTATTCTCTGTTATCCATTATTGTTTAAAAATCCATTTCTGCTTATCAACCGTTAAATTTCCAACCATCGTTAGTTATATTACCACTTTATGTGCAAAAAATTCGTTATTATTTATTGAATAATAAAAATTATAAAAAATGTATTATAATAAAAATTATGAAAATAAAAATATTCAAATAACTAAATTCTACACACAATCGCATCAAAAAGTACACTTATCATTAACAACAGGAAGAGAGAGGTGAAATTTCTGGACCACATAATGAGGAAAGAGGGCTAGGAAATGTTGATACTCACAGGACAGATGAAAGGTAAAAGTGTTAGAGGAAAGCAATGTACCCGACCAGGTTGAGCACATGGATTGCGCAGCGAGCATAGTTTGGGGAAGATGACACTCCCCCCCCAAAAAAACGAAAGTGATTAAGATCTACAAAAGAAAGGAAATTATAAAGAGCCATGATCACAAACGGCCTGAACGGACACGGTCTATAGAAGAACACACACACATATATATATATATATATATATATATATATATATATATATATATGTATATATGGAGAGAGAGAGAGAGAGAGAGAGAGAGAGAGTAAATACTCTTATTTGAATAGACGTTCCGTTTATTTATTAAATAGTATATTTATTTATATTCGTTTACCGGCCTGAATATTAGAGAATTCTTATTAAAGAAAAAATATGCGCTCTCTGGCAGGATTCGAACCTCCGTCCCCGTGGGCAGAAGGAACGGTCGGTTGAAGAGTGTCTTTAAGCGAAATTTTTCTTGTCATAGACTCTTGGAATTTTCATACCTGCTTAGTTTCATATCCAAATGTAAACAAAACAATTTTCTAAAGAAGTAATGGATTTTTATTTGTTAATCTGACAGATTTCATTGCTTTAAACTTTATTTTTTGTAGATACCAATATTTGAGTAACGCTCCGGTAGAAGAAAATAAATAAATATACTTTTTAATAAATAAAATTTATCTACTACAAAAGTGATGGCATAAAAAAGAAAAGAATCTAAATGAAATCGTTTTGATTAAAAATAAATAAATAAATTAAAAATTCACAGCATCCCTCGTTCGTGCGCATGTGCAGTCGCGCCAACATAACAAATTTTGTTCGATGAAGTCCTAAAGAACGAAATGTGTCACAAGGAAACTTTTGCACTCTGTCATACATTTCCCCAATATTGTTCTTGATATATAAAATTTACATATCTTTATCTCATATATATATATATATATATATATATATATATATATATATATA